AAAAAAAAATCTTAACATTTAGTAGCTGTACTACCTGGGGCAGCAGGTAAATTCTTTGGTTGGAATATTATTAATGGCCCATTTTCTGAAGAAGGATAGGAACTTGTTCTGTGGGAGCCCAAATGCCCAAGTCCTGAATGGAAGTGAAAAGGCGCCACTAGTTTCAGGAACTTGGGTACAGTGTAGTAGTCACAGCCCAACTTGGCTAGGAGTAGAGCTAAAACCAGACCTGCTGTGGTGGCGTGGTGGCAGGGTCAAAACCAGGGGGAAACACCCAGCCGATGGAGGGGCCCAAGAGGAGTCCTACAGTCCCACATGGCAGCATCCTTTTTTCTTTTTAATCATTTTATTAGGGGCTCATACAAGTCTTATCACAATCCATACACACATCAATTGTGTAAAGCGCATTTGTACATTCATTGCCCTCATCATTCTCAAAACATTTTCGGCAGCATCCTTTGATGGATCAAAGGAAATCCCAAAACAGCTTATTTCTTGCACTTCCCAGTGCCTTTGCACACTCTGGAATGCACTTCCCACCTTTGTCTGCTCACTAGATTTATCCTTCACAATCAAGTTACTATGCCATTACCTCTTAGAGTGAGTCACCTGGTTAAGTGTTATGGCTAGCTCTTAACACACTGTATGTGTGTAGGCTATTTGCTTCCTTGCCCGCCACCCACATGAGCCTGCAAACAGAGGCTCTGAGCAGGGTTCATCTGTACCTGTCCTTTAGGCTTCTCCAAGTGTCCAGCCAAGGAGCTGGCAGATAGTAAAATACTCAACCAGTTTTTCTTTAGTGATGAATGAGTTAACTCAGGTGGATAATAGCAAGTTGTTCACAATCTATGACAAGAGTCTGTCCTTCTGGGGCTCTGCTTCGGATCATTAGTTTGCAGTGAGAGGAACCTTGGGATGGGTGGGTTTCTTTATTTTCCCCTTTTCCATCCCCAGCTAGCCGCTCGTTTCAGACCCTCGAGATGTTAACATGAAATGAAAGATGTGGACAGGGGCGGGAAGTCTTTTTGTCATAAGGTGGTTTTGTGCTGTCTGGATCTGGGAGATGTTTATAGCTGTCTTTATCCATCCATTATGGGGTGCTTTTAGGGGTTCATCAAGGGTTCCCTCCTTTGGATCTGCTCCTGCATCACATCTCTATTATCAGTGGCCATTAGCCTAGCTTCTTACTCCTGGGATCTCCACTGGATAGCCTCCATGCTGGCTCTCTCACACTTGGCCTACCACTGACTAACAAAAAATACTCTGATGCGTTCTGGGAAAATGGGGCAATTGCACCATATCAGCACCCTCCTGGGTCAGCCACCAAAGCAGCAGCAGGCTTGTCTCAGAAAAGATATCCCAGAAAAGAGGCAAACGCCAGCCACTGGGCTCCCCAACCGCAATGATGATGGATTTGATCCCTCAAGCCCTTGTAGAATTCAACTCTCCGACTCTTCACGTGACTTGAGCAGTTGAAGGTAGGGACCAGTCTTCCCTAAGGAGAGGTAGGGACTCACAGACAAGGCAAAGCTTTGTTAAAAAAAATAATAATGCCACACAATCTTCACCACCCTCTGATATTCTAGGACTAAACAAGGGATCTATGAGCTTTAAAACAACTTTAGGTTATTTCTTCAAGAGGAGAGGGGCTGGAGATGTTGACTGGGCACCTCACTGTGAAATTTCACATATCTAACTTTTAAGAGGAAGAAAAGAACTACCAGCAAGGTAGGACCCAGGCATGTTATAGCCCTGGGAGATGGATGGAATATTCTTGTATGCTCTCAACGATGGGATTTGGAGTCTAAACAGAAAAGGCCCGGCTCTCTTAAAGGGGGGCAAGTTGCTTTTTTCTTTCTTTCTTTTTCCACTTCAGTGTCTCTCCCTCTGATCCAGGCTCCCTGGAATCCTTCTTCCCACCTTGAATCATCAGACGAGTCTGAACATGCCTATTTGCTAATTGTGTCTGGCTTAAGTCTTTCCCCAGAGGGTTCTTAGGCCCCAAGCCATTCAAGTGATTGCGTATGGGCACCTGCTTCTGTGTCCCAAGGTTCCTGGCTCTTTTTAGGGTACTTGTGGACTGATGTACTGTCAGCACTTAGAAAACCTCTTGGGCGCAGTGTGACCCACTTTCACACACCAGCTGACTCCACTTTCTGCTCTGGCCCAGTCAAAATGCCCAGTGGCACTATCTTATTATGCTTTGATGCAATTTCCAACTTGCTATTACTAGATTGTATTATTATCCAAGTGCACAATAAGCATTCTTAAATGTTTGCTGTGAGGAGCCCTGGTGGTATAGTGGGTTATGAGTCGGACTACTAACCCCAAGGTCTTAAGTTTGAAACTCCCAGGCCCTCAAAGGGAGAAAGATGAGGCTGAGGACTCCTCTAAGGATTTACTGTCTCAGAAACTCACATGAGGCAGTTCTACTTTGTCCTACAGGACTGGATGGCGGGCAGGGTATTGTTTGTTTTGTTTTGTTTTGTTTTGGGGGAGGCATGTTTGCTGGATGAGTGAATGAATGAAGGACAAAATAAGTTACCCTTTACAAAGATACTATTGTTTTAACACCCTTCTAGACCACTAGTGCTATACTGTTTTGGAAGCCTGAAACCTCAGCTGACTCCTCGTGGTCTCAAAGTATATTATATAGCTTGCAATGGATTTTGTGTCATTAACTTTGGCTTTTGATAACCATGAGTCTGGCTTGATTCTTTCGCTAGACAAATACAGATACTGTTTTCCAAAACATGTCAAAAGAAAGCAGAATAGACAAATTGTGGTTCCTTAGAGCAGTGGTTCTAAAGCTGGGGGTCGAACGACCCTTTCACTGGGGTCACCAGATTCATAAATGTAGCAAAACGACAGTGATGAAGTAGCAACGAAAATAATGTTATGGTTATGGTTGGGGGGTCACCACCACATGAGGAACTGTATTAAAGGGTCGCAGCATTAGGAAGGTTGAGAACCACTGCCTTAGAGGGATGTAGGACATCCAGACAAAATGAACAGCCTAGGCAAAGGCACAGAGGCAAAACACTATACTGTCCATGTGGCCTGGAGGGAGGGTGGGCGTCTGAAAGGATGACAACCCTACGAGGGGTCGCCCTGCGGGTTTTATCACGAGCCCAGCACGGGGTGCCTTCTGTCCACGCAGGCGTCATTGCCGTAAGCTGGTTTGTGAGTAAGCCTGATGGCGCAGTACGATAGGTGTTGGGCCGCTAACCCCAACGTTGGCAGTTCCAGCCCAACAGTGGCTCCACGGGGAAATGATGGGGCTGTCAGCTCCCCCAAAGGTGTACAAGGGCTCTAGGAACTGGAAGGCACTCTGCCGCGGCAGCTTTTACTTTGCCTTGGTTGTGGGTGGGGCTGGGAGGCGTGGGTGGAGCGGTGCGCAGGCGCGCCCAGAGCCAAACACGCACGCGCAGTGTGTGCCTCCCAAGTCAAAAGATGGGCATCCGAGGGCAAGTTTTTTCGGCTCCCAAACACCGGACTCCAGAGACCCTAACAATCCCCAGCTCCGATGACGGATCTTACGGTGTTTTTTTTAATTTGAAAATAAAACTCAGAGTTTATTAAAATACTCATTCTGCCCCACATTTAACAACACTGTAATAACAGCTACTCATCTGTATTTAGTCCAATCGTCTTTTTTTAAAGCGCCACCCACCGACGGCTCTTACTGAAAGGTGCTCGCTCTCCTTCCGGGCCTCTCCCGGAACCCGGCCGCCCGGCGGCCAGCGCGCGACGGCGGCGCGCGACGCCGCGGGGCGGGCCCACGAAAGAGCGGGAGCCCGGGGGCGGGGCCTGGAGGTCAGCGGGGCGGTGGGCCCCGCCCCCAGCCGGCCCGGGCCGAGTCTCGCCGCTCCTCAGCTGAGGGATTCGCCGCCGGGAGTCCGCGCGAGCCGATCGTGGTGAGGTGTGGCCTGGAGGGCGGGCAGACGGGAGGTTCCCGGGTTAACGGTCCGAGATTTAAAGGCCGTCCCGCTGAGGGCTCCCCAGGGAACCCCAGCCCCGCAGGGGACTCCCGTGACCTCGGGGGGAAACGGGGCCCAGCGAGGGGCTGGGAGCTGCCCCAGGACTCCCCAGGGGCTTGCGTTAGCTTCCGGCGGGCGCCACCACTCCGGGGTCCAGTCCACCCGGAAAGGGAACTTTCCCGGTCCTCATCCAGAATCCGAAAACCGAACCGAACCGAAAAACGAATGGTCCGGATGAGGCTCTGCGCGCTCGGGCGCATCTCGCTGCCGGCGCCGCTGCGGTTTTGCTGGTTAACCGAGGGGAAGCCCAATCCCACAGCCAGCGCACCCCGCGCTGTGGAACGCGCGCTCTTCTGCACCCTGCTCAGGGAGCCCTTTGCTTTCTTCTCGGTGCAGCTAGTCTCGCTTCTCGGTTTCTGAACTCCTTGCCTCGAGTTACTTTTCGTGTCTGTTTTATGCACCATGCGCTCTTTGGAGTATTAGACCTTGTCGCGTCATAACTCTGTCTCCGGGCCTGTGTTCGAGGAGCCCAGGTGCAGTGGTTATACCTTGGCTGTTGAATGCAGTTAGTGGTTTGAAACCACCAGTGGATCCGCAGGACAAAGCCTGAAGCTCCCTTTGGGAAACTCACGGTCTATGGCAGCGAGTAGTGGTAGGTAGCACTGGAGCCTGAAGATAATAGTGGGCGGGCCTTTAAAAGTTAGTGGGAAGTTTCTATTATCTTATCCCCCCCCCATTGTCTTTTAATTCCACCACCCCCACACACACAACTTTTGAAAACTCCCGCGTAATAACTAATATTCACTAAATAGCCACAGAAGTTCCAGGTGCTGCAAAATGCATTAAGGGTGATGGCCCATACTCATCAGCGTCCCAGCCATCCTGTTGAGTTGACAGGTTTATGTATCTTAACATTTTCATATGAAAAAATTGAGGCACTCATAAATTGGGCTAATTTGCCTAGAGTTCCACAAGTACTGAGTGGAGCTGGAAAGGGCATTCTCGACTATTCCCAGACTGTGTGATAACTTCCTTAGGTGCTTTTGGGTTTTTTCCAGTGTTGAGTGAGTGACTTTTTACCTCAGCCCTATGGGTCACGGAGGTTGGGGTTCTGATTCATGTTTTACCAAGAAATTCAAAAAAAGAGAACTGGTGCCAAATTTATTGGCGATGTTGTGATAGAACCGAGACTAGAACCTCGGTCCTACTGGAACCCGGCGTTGTTCCCGCAGTCACACCACCTTCCACCAACTGCCCGGCCCCTCCCAGAGCTGTGCTTTCACCTCATGTGTTTAGGAGGCAGTTGAAGGTCATGGAGAGAACGCAAGAGGTTGGAAGAATATTGAAGTTCAGTCTTTGCTCTGCCTCTGTTGGAGCCTCAGTTTTCTTAACTATAAAATGAAGGCAATCATTTCATTTCATTTATTTATTTTTTTATGAATCATCTTATGGGGGGCTCTTAAAAATCTTATGACAACCCATCATTCATTTGTAGTAAGCACACTTGTATTTCAGCATTTCCAAAACATTTTCTTTCTACTTGAGCCTTTGGTATCAGCTCCTCTTTGTTCCCTTCCCTCCACCACACTCCCACCCTCATGAATCCTTGATCAATTATATATTATTGTTGTTATTTCGTGTCTTACACTGTCCGTTGGCTCAGTTCATCCACATATCTGTTATTTGGTGGGGGGGCGGGAAGACAGTCATTTTAGAGCAAAGCATTTTAGTGCAGGTTGCACTAAAGAGCATTGAGTGCTGTACTAACTGTAGATGCATACAACCAGAGCCTCTGGTTCTAGAGCCCCAGGTTAAAGTCCTCTATTTTCCCTTTTAGAAGGATGAGGCTGATTTAAAGATTGAAACCCACAGGGGCAGTTCCACTCTGTCCTACAGAGTTACCGTGAGTTGGAATCGACTTGATGGAAATGCATTTGGTTTTTTAGTTTTGAGATTTGTCAGTGTTTTACAAGGCCATGGCTGATGCTAGGGATCATACTACCTTATGCCCTTCTGTTCAGGCATTCATGCAGTCAGCTAGGCCATGAGCACCTGCTAGGCACCAGCCACCATAGTTGAAGCTGAGCTTACAGCAGGCCATAAAAAAATGTTTTTGCATTTGTGGGATTCACATTCCGATAGGAGAGACAGACCTCATGTATTAACACACTCTCAGATCAGCCAAGAAATATACTAGTTTATTTGTGTAAGGAAGTACATGCTAGTAGATTTGTAGAAGGAACCACATGCTGATATATTTTTAATGGGATAACATACAAATAAGTTATTTCTACAAACAATTTATTTGCTCAGAGAATAAGCTGTCATTATCGTGAGTGGTTTTGTTGTCGTTTAACCTTTTTGCTTTGGATTGATAAATTATATTTAGTAATACTGGTCTGTGCTGCCTTCTTGGTAACCTTTATGCCTCTACTCCAAGTTTAGGTGCTGCTTCTATTTTGACTTCAAATACCTTTTATTTAATACTCCTTCGGAGTATTTTGAAAGAGGGGAGAATAACTACATAATGTATATCACATTTAAATCATTTCTTAGCTGTGTGCAGAAGTGACTACTGGTCTTTAATAAGGTTCTTGGCCTTCTCAATTGGATTCAAGCAAAATTTGCAAATAGTTCTCTTTCATTTCAGTATTACTCTGGCAGATACTGGGTTGAACTTCATGAGTGGTTATGTGATATAGTCATGTACAGAAGAAGTGAATCTTTCCCCTGTTCCTGCAGTAATGATGACAGCTGTATTACCTAGAGAGACATAAGTGACACTTCTACATGTATAAGAAGGAACTTTGTATCAAGAAGCAAATTTATATCAAGAAGGCAGCCCAGCCCAGTCCAACTCAAGTCCATGGTCTGCTGCTAGCCGATGCCCTCTTACTCCTGTAACTGCAGACCAATGAGACAGAGAGGTAAAGTGGGAAGGGAAAGAGGGAGATCGCATGCCAGTGGGTGCAGAGTCATGTGGACCCAAGGTTAGTGGGAACTTGTCAGGGCACCAGCAGTTCCTAGGATGGCTCTCAGGGTCAGTGGTCCACATGGGGCCACCCTAGAGGCAGGCACAGAATCCTGCCAAGCAGGGAAGGTGAAGGAAGGAGCTGAGAGAGAAGTTCTGATGATCTCTCTTATTAAACAGGCCACAGCCCCAAGGAGGTGTTGCCACATTAGACTCCACCCCTACACTGTCACACAGGTTCAAGTTGACATGAAATCGAACCTCCACAACATCTATGAAGTACAGTTTACAAGCACACCAACTCCCATTCTCTCATTTGAATGCAACTCTGTCTCTGTGAATCATTCACCAGCTACTGGCCTTTTCCCTTTTGGAGGGAATGTGAAAATGTATCTTCCCCGTGGCACCCAGTGACTATTCCCTGGTGGAGCTGATAATGTGGTTTGTTTGTTTGTTTAATTAAATACTTTTACTGGGGGTCTTACATCTCTTATCACAATCCATACATTCATCCAGTGTGTCAGGCACATTTGCACATATGCTGCCATCGTCATTTTCAAAGCATTCTTGTCCCACTTGAGCCCCTTGATATCAGCTCCCCATTTCTTCCCCTGCCCGCCCTCCCTCACGAACCCTTGATATGGTATAAATTATTTTTTTATATTGTATATTGTCCTCCATCGCCCCTCACCCACTTTTCCATTGTTCTTCCCCCTGAGAGAGGATTCTATGTTGGTCCTTGTGATCGATTGATAATGTGTTTAAAAAAGGGTGAAAGACCTGGTGATTTGCTTTGTAAAATTATAACCTAGAGATTCCCCCCCCCAAGGCAGTTTTCTGTTACACGGGGTCACTATGAGTCAAGAATCAACTCTGGCACCTAGCAACAATTATAAACCCTTGAAATGATTTTCAAAAAAAAACTTATTTTTTTTAACAGTTTTAGGTTTATATTATAGAGTTTGCAACTGTCCTTCACTCCGCTTCCCCTTTTTAGTAACATTTTACATTGTACATCATCATCGAGAGTGACCCTACATAGGATTTCCAAAGCTGTAAATATTTATGGGAACAAATATTCTCATCTTTCTCTCTGGAGGGAACTGGTGGATTTGAACTGCTGACCTTTCAGTTGGTAGTCCCAACACTTAACAGTCAGCGTTACAAGAGTTCCTTTCAAATGAGCATGGCATGTTTGTTATAATTTCAAGTCACTTTTTGAGATATAGGAGACCAGGTGGCATAGCGGATTAAGTGTTTGGCTGCTAACCATAAGATTGGCGAATCAAACTCACCAGTCATTCCACAGGAGAAAGATGTAGCCATCTGCTTTCGTAAAGATTTACAGCCTTGGACACCCGATGGGGCAGTTCTACTCTGTTCTATGGGACTGCTATGAGTCACCATTGACTCCATGGTAGCAGCTTTGGTTTGGTTTTAGTCTTTTGTTGTTGTTTTTTTAGTCTTTATGGCAGCAGACTGCCACACCTTTCCCCCGTTGAGTGACTGGTAGGTTTGAACCTCCAACCTTTTAGTTAGCAGCCAAGGACTTTCACCATTGTACCCCGAGAACTTTTTTTTGCTCTTCCTTCATGTTCCCATCATATCCTGTGATGTCTGTATGATTTTTGCACATACGTGTTGCACCATGATTGTTTGTGTCTCATTACCCTGCTAGACAAAGAACAGGTTCGGCCTCCACTTGACCAATGTTTATGTGGCACTGTGCTAAGCACAGTGAATCTGTGTGTGCTAAGCACTGGTGAATCGGGAGTGCTCGGTTGAGGACAGAGCTTGTCTCATGACCAAGTAAATTTGAGAAATGCTGCTCATCAGAGCCGTGTCTTAGAGATTGCCAGTAAACCGATTGCCATCGAAGCTATTTCAACTCATGGCGATCCCACAAAGTTCTCAGAGGAGCACTGTACCCATAGGATTTTCAGTAGCTGATTTTTCTGAAGTCGGTGCCCTGGCCTTTCTTCTGAAGTGCCTGTGTGGACTTGAGTCTTCAGCCTTTTGGTTAACAGCCGCATTTGTTAGCCATTGACTTCACCTAGGACTTGCTTAGAGATTAACCAGAAACTAAAAACCCATTGCCATCAAGCCAATCCCAATTCATAGGACCTGGATGGGAGAGTGTGAGTGCTTTAAGCGTTCTGAGGTGTCCCGTGGTAACGGAGGCTGTGCACCTTCTCCAACCTGGCTGTGCGCCTTCTCCAACCTAGCTCTGCCAGACTTACTGAGTTGTTGTTGAATCCATTTGAGACATTAAGACAGTAGTCCTTTCAACTCTTTCCTGTGCTTCAATCACCAGCTCGAGAGGAGGTCGGAGTGGCACCGCAATGGCTAGAGAGCCTACTGGGCGTGCACAGCCGCGGTGACCTTCCTGTCCGAGGCCCATGGAGACAGGAGGCCCTGGGTGGAACAACATGAAGCCCCAGTCACTGCAGCTGGTGCTGGAGGAGCAAGTGCTGGCACTACAGCAGCAGATGGCCGAGAACCAGGCAGCCTCCTGGCGGAAGCTGAAGAGCTCCCAGGAGGCCCAGCAGAGGCAAGCAACCCTCGTGAGGAAGCTGCAGGCCAAGGTGAGGCAGCTGCCTGTGTTGGGAGGAGGGAAGAGAGGAGTAGGGTGCCAGGGTGGGGAATAGGCGGCACAGCCAGGGGCTGGGAATAAGCCAAACCGAGATTGGTGAGGTGTGGACTCCAGACCTTCCAGCTTTCCTATGTAGCCTCTCCTTTGGTACTCCCAACTACCCCACGACCTGTGGATGGGGGGGCTGCTAAAAGTTCCATTACCTTTTCATTCCATTTTTCCATGAACTTTTATGAAGCTCCCTCCTGTTATGTCCCTTCGAAAGATGAGGAGGCTTCAGAGGTTGTTCAGATGGGCTCCCCTGGTCAGTCTGAAGCTTAAGACCTCATTCAAGTATTCTGGACCCAAAGCTTATAGAAGAGGCATTTAGAAATATCAATGAAATGCCCAAGTAGAAGCCGTAGGTGTGATGGCCTGTCCCCATGATCATCACCCACTTTCTCCCTTTACACAACAGGTTTGCCCGATTTCCTGGGGAAAGGGAGATAGGGGTGGGTTTCTTTGATTTGGACTGTTTATGCCAACTGTGCCCATAACCCCGCACCTACTCCATTTGCTACAGGTGCTACAGTACCGGAACTGGTGCCAAGAGCTAGAGAAACGGCTGGAAGCCACTGGGGTGAGTGAAGTTAGGTTCTGAGGGGGCAGCTTGGACTGGGTAAGTTGGTGTTGGATAGAAGTCACTCCTTCAATCTCAGAGCTTTACCACACACAGTTTCTCTTCGTTGGACATAGCGATTCTTCGCCTCTCAGAATCCAACCTTTACTCTCTGAAGACCTTTACTCTCAAGGAAGCTCCAGGAATGCGGTTGGACTGGGGGTGGGGGTGGCCAGCCCCCCACCACTAATCACGGGTTCGATAGGCACAATTGTACAGGTTGAGATATATAAATATTATATTAAAGTCATCGAGAGCATGAGAGATAAAAGAGATATTAAAATAATGGAGTCAGACACATTTCATGGTAGCATTGCTCACCTCAGCCCCATTTGGTGGTTCACGTGGAGAGATGGGGAAGGGAATGACAAGGGGAAAGGGAACAGGGGAGGAGGACAGGAGAGGAGAGGGGGAGCCAATGAGGTCAAGAGAGGAGCCAGGGGGGGGGAGGTCCCTCTCTATTGCTAACCCAGGCTTATATACCTTTGTGGGTGTGCAAACCCACTAATTACAGGTATAGACATACGTCACAGGAAGGTGTTGCACTGTAGATTATACAGTAATGGAAGGGGGTGGTCTAGGGCCATACACACAATAGGAAGAGGAGGGGTTGGGGGTATACATGTGACAAGATGGGCGGATCCTAGATATAGGATGGCAGCTTAACTGAGCTGGTTTGACCTGTTCTCTGGATCTCCATAGGACCCATTATCAGTAGGGTGTATACCCCACCTACAGGAACCAAATAAATGACTGCAGGCCTGTCCATTGTCCTTAACAACAGGGAGCGGGGCCCTTACAGTCTGGCAACTGATCGCCCTCAGAGAGGATGCCTGCAAGCATCTGACCTCCTCCCACACAGGAAAAGCAAACAGATTGGGCCAGGCGAGAAAAAAGGGTTGCCATCAAATGTGTGTCTGAGTTAACTGTGCTCCAGATTTTCAGAAGCTGGTTTTTCTGAAGTATTGTCTGCAGGCCTTTTGTCCGAGGTCCCTGTAGATGGGCTTGAACTGCTAGCCTTTTGGTTAAAACTCACTCACTGCCATTAGTCAATTCTGACTGATGGCGGCCCTGTGGGGCAGGGTAGGACTCCCCCTGTGGGTTTCCGAGACTAACTCTTTATGGGAGTGGCAATCCCATCTTTCACCTGAAACCACCAGCTGCTCCTTGGGAGCCTTTGGTTAGCAGCCATTTGCCTCACCCATGGACTCCAAGAAGCGTAGAATTAGAAGGAAGCAATGTTTTGTTTCCTCCAGCAGGTGTCAGTGTTTATCCATCTTAGAGAAAGGTGTTCCTTTGAGGATCTGAAAAACATGTTTGTGACCCAGGGATTGATTCATTTTTGCTGTTGACTGGGTAGAACTAGCTTTGAAAACCCAGTTTTTCTCTTTGTTCTGAGTTCCGCTCTGCTTTTTCTCCTATTCCCCTCGGAAAGGGACAAACAAAACAAAACTTGGTGAGTATCTTCTATGTATAGGTCAGGCACCTTTATGCATTATTGTATATGAGGGCCCCCCCCAAAAAAAAAAAAAAAAAGACGGAATAAAGCTCTGCTGAGAGGAGCATTTTTCCCTGCTAGGTGAGCATGGAGCAACTCGCTCTGAGTTAGTGCACCCAATGTGTTGCCTGGGAAGGTCCTCTCTGGTCACAGTGAATGTTTTCATAAAAGCAATTCTACCCGAACCTCGTTTTTTGTGATGGCTAGTTTAAGAGAACAGATGTGAAATTTTGTTTCCAGTTTGAGAAAAATGCTGCAGAAACTGTTGTGATGTTGAGCACAGCTTACAAGGACAGTGCTATGGGAAAAACTCAAATGTACGAGTGGTTTTCTCATTTCAAAAAAGGCAAAATGTTGATTGAGGTCAAACCTTATTCTGGACATCCATCAACTTCCCCAACAGATGAAAATGTCAACTTGTACGTAGTGCATTTGTTCCAGGTCAGACTGTTCATCAGCCTTCTATTTAGAGCTTCTGAAACGATTGCTTAACAGTGTGCGACAAAAAGGCCTGATTTGTCACCACGACAATGCACCTGCTCATGCAGCCATCTCAGTGCAACAGTTTTTGCAAAAAACAGCATGCCTCTCTTGCCCCACCCACCTTTCTGGGAATGCAGAGGAACATAAAAGGACAGTGATTTGACAACTTAGAAGAGATGAAGAAAAACATGAGGGAGGTGCTGTCAGCCATCCAAACAAATGAGTTTGAAAATGTTTCCAAGAATGGACTCGCAGATTTGACAAAAGTGTAATGGAGAGTACTTTGAAGGTGATAAGCTCATCTTGTAAAAAAATTGAAATACGTAGCTTTGGGGGGGAAATTCCAGGGGTTTAGTTGGTTTCCCCTTCTAAGTATGTCACTTCACGTACAAAGCAGCTCTCAGGGAAATGCTGTCGCCTTCCTTTTGTAGCTGAAGATTAATTTTTTAAGATCCAAAAGTTAGTGCAGTAGAAGTCAAAGAAAGAGATTGCTCACAATTCTTAGGCTGGAAATCCTGTACCAAATACCATCTTTGAGAAGGGGGTGATTGGGTCCTTTGGGGAAGGAGAAGTACAGTAGATTTGCTTTCAGAATGGAATGCAGTGATTGAGAAACGAAGAATGTGGCTTACAGAGAATACAAAGAAACTAGGTTGCTATTGAAGGGCCATCAGGGAGTTGGTCAGAGGTAAATAAAGCTTGTCTCTGTCTGGCCCAGGGACCAATCCCTCAGCGATGGGAAAGCATGGAGGAGCCAAACCTGGAACAGCTGCTAATCCGATTGGAGGACGAGCAACAGAGGTGACGGAGCCCCACATTTCCTGATCTGGGTGATTGGTCAGCGGATGGGCAAGGCTAATGGGAAATCTCTCTCCTGAGGGCTAATGTGCATTAGAACCGTGGATTTCCACGTTGGCCTCTAATTCCTGTCAATAGAAAATTCTAGCGATTGTCAGTTTACTCCAAGAAGTCCAAGGGTTGGACCATCTTTTATTTTGCATGTGCACCCACCCCTCCCCAGTGCAGGTGTGAGAGTCTAACAGAGGTGAACACTCAGCTTCGGCTGCACATGGAAAAAGCTGACGTGGCGAATAAAGCCCTTCGGGAAGACGTGGAAAAATTGGCAGTGGACTGGAGCCGAGCCCGAGATGAGCTAATGCGGAAGGAGAGCCAGTGGCGGATGGAGCAGGAGGTAAGAGGAACAGGAGGTCGAATGTGAGAAGAGGACTGTGCCCTTGGGGTGCCGCCCAGGTCAGTGCTGGAAGGGATTCACTTCGGGGCTTATGTGGAAACCGAATGGCCACAATCCATGCAGACAGCTCTGGCCTCCTGGACCCTCGATTCCGTTCTGCACTTACCTGCCGCGTTTAGGACTTGCTAGCAGGTGGCATGACATTCTGACAACTCTCTTTCTGCATAGGTGACTGGTCTGGAGGGCTACATGGAGAATATTTTAGATCCTATTTAAAGGAAGATAATGTTTCCTGAGCCTTTGGTCTGTGCCAGGTATCATGCTCGGTGATGTACCTAGGTTATGTCACATAGTATCAATCTATGACAATAGCGGTATTAACTCCCAGTTGTTGAGCAGCTAGTGTGTGTTGGCCACTGTGCTTAGCTCCTGTCATTTGTTAGGTATTTTATCTTTACCTTGATCTTGTGAGGTGATTAAGTTACTATCTTTATCTTGCTGTTGAGGAAACTCAGGCTTACGTGACTGCCTTAAGCCACTCCTGTAAACATGGCAGAGCTGGGAATACATATGGCAGTGCGTGGCCCTCACTCCCGTACTGCTCTGCCATATGGCCTCTGAGATCTCAGCCTCCTGCCACAGGAGCCCTCATGGTTCTGAAAGGGATAGATTGAAGCATGTGCAACTGTTTCCTATGTGTGACTGTAAAGACTTTGAAAGAGGAAAGTAGGAAGAATAAAATAAAAACTATCCATAGGTAACTAATGATAGCATTTTGTTGCATATCATTTTCTAGTCTTTTTGTCCTATCCATATTTATAAATGTAGATGTGCTTGTGTATGTATGTGCATATATATATGTATACATATATACAGCTATGTGCATACATAAGGGGGATTCTTAAAGTTTGTGGAACAATTTAATTCTTCCACAGCTTCTTAAAGCCCCTCATAGATATACGTTATGAGCGCATATTACTATTGTTATGTGATATTGAGTTGAATCTGACTCGTAGAAGCCCTCGAGGAGGATCCCATAGGATTTCCAGGGAGCACATCTTTATGGAAGAGGGAGGGGCTGGTGCTTTCAAACTCTGCCACCCATGATGCGTGTGTGCGCGTGTGTATTTCAGAAAGTTCTTGGAACAATTGAATGAAAAGATATGGCATTACTCCATACACTTCTTGAAGCCCCCTCGTCTGCATGTGCTGTAACCACAAGTACATTATTTGACGACTTCTGCTAATTAATACACAGTCTCAGCTGTTTTCTTTCCTAAAGGTTTACTTAGACAATAGTCCCACATTGACTTACAATGTTTTATAGCCCAGGTGATGTGACATCATAACACTAAACGTGGTGGCGGCTCTTAGAAGCCACTATGGCAACCCTCTAATGGCACCTGTCTCAAATGCCTCCTGTGATCAAGAGTGTACCTTTGCTGACTGGCTATTTCAAGCCAAAGCTACCCTGTGCAACTGGCTTCTACACACACCTATGTTGCTTTCTGGCTTACAAACTGCATAAAGTAATGTAAGTGCAAACACAGGTTAACTTAGCAACATTTGGGCATGAGAACACGAGTGCATTCGTGAGCGGTCAGCCAAGTACTTGTGAATGGTGGGCTCTCCAGAGGTCTTTGAGGAGAAATGTTCTCCAGTGATCTAGCTCAGGGGAAGAGCATATTCTTATTCCCAGGTCTTCTGGCCCATTGGCTCTCACCACCAACTTTAATGAATCCTTGAACAAAAACATGACTGTAAGCTGCCATTCATAATGATCTCCTGGAAGCAGCTGGCCCCTGACCCATAATCAGGAGGATTCCAAGACTCCTGTTTTGAAAAAGATAGGCCTCTGCCCTCTGGTGTGACCCAGGTTTCTGAACACACAGTTCTTCAAGGGCTACCTGCAAGGGGAACATGGTCGCCTTCTCAGCCTGTGGAGAGAGGTGGTGACCTTCCGACGCCACTTCCTAGAAATGAAGTCGGCCACTGACAGGTCAGTGTGGGAGTGGGAAGAGAGAAGGTTCTGGACTTAGGGTGGGCTACTATAGGAGGGGCCCATGGGGCAGTGAGAAGAGAGAACTGGAGGGAAGACATGGGAGAAGGAGGAATGTAGGGATGTTGGCTTTATTCTGGGTATTGCGTGGGTAACTGAGAGTCCCTGGATAGTATAAATGGCTGTCATGCTCAGTTGCTTACTGAAAGGTTGGAGGTTGGTAGCTACTGAGGGGCCTTGGAGGAAAGGCCTGGCAATCTTCTTCTGATAAATCAGCTATTGAAAACCCTGTGGAGCCCGCCTCTACTCTGACACACATGGGCTTGTCATGAGTCAGAATCAACCAGTGGCAGCTGGTGGTTTGGGGATGAATAATTGTTGGGTTGAGATGATTTTTCCCAGACCTGCTCCTCAGGGCTCACTGGGCCTGACCTCCACATCCCCTTCCTTGGCCCCCTTTGGGGTCTGCTCCTTCCCTTGCTTGTCCTCAGGGATCTGACAGAGCTCAAAGCTGAGCACATGAGACTCTCAGGGTCCCTGTTGACCTGCTGCCTGCGCCTGACTCTGGAAACACAGTCTCGGGAGTCAGAGGGGTCTGGGAGACTGGATGGGAATGAGCCTGCCCAGCTGCTGCTGCTACTGGCCAAGACCCAGGAGCTGGAGAAGGAAGCCCATGAGAAGAGCCAGGAGTTAATTCACCTGAAGAGCCAAGGGGATCTGGAGAAGGTCGAGCTTCAGGACCGGTGAGAGGGGTTCTGGGAAGAGCTCACTGATGGCAGGTCAGCTCCCTCCGGGACTCAGGTTCAGGTGGGGAGAGGTCAAGAGCATTCCCACCATGAGGAGGAAGGAGTCCAGTTGAAAAACATTACACCACAGCTGGGGCATGTCACTGGCCTCTGCCCTCATTCCCTCTGGGTAATAGAGCCAGCTATGCCTCTGTTCTGACAGCACCAGCTCCTTGCCATCCCCTGGACAGGCCAGCTCTTCTATGCTTCCCTGGCTTTGTACGTGGTGACCCCAACCTGGAGTTCCTCCCCCCTCCTCCCTCTGCCTTAGCATTTAAGGCATCATTCAAATACGGTCTCATCTGTGAAGCCCTCTCTGATATATGAAGTTACTGTGCCTCTGCAGTCTTTCAACCTTTGTTCAAACATTGACCTCATTGTACCTGATTGAATATTTAACACACACACTCTTTTCTTTAGTCAGGCTGTTTTAATATTTGAATTATAATAAAGTGTTGTTGTGTGCTTTCATGTCGGTTCATAGAACTGTCCCCACAGGGTTTCCTAGGCTGTAATCATTTTTTTTAATGATTTAAAAACTCATTTTTAATGGCACTTCATCCACATATCATACAATTCAGTAGTTCAATTATATCAAGAAGAGTTGTACAGTCATTACCACAATCAATTTTAGAATAATTTCTTCTTCTTTGTACTTATTATTATTTGTGTAATTATTTTTTAATTGTGGCAAACATACACAACAAAGCATTCGCCAATTCAACAACTTCTACATCTATAATCCAGTGCCATTGATTATACTCTTCATGCTGTACAATCGTTATTGATTTCCTTTTCCAAATTACTCCACCCCTGTTAACATAAGCTCAATGCCGCCTAAACAGAAATCCTTCCTCCTTTACCCATGGTAACCTTTGGCTACCTTGGTTTATTTTTTTTTAGTAGGTTTATTAATATAATATTCACAAATTGTACACTTCCATAGTTAAATAGCTTTTTTAAAAGAGCTGTATATACATCATCACCCCGCCACACCCCACACACACACCCCACCGCACCCCACCCCCACCCCCGACTGTAACCTTTATGGGAGCAAATCATCAGGTCTTTCTTCCACAAAGCTGCTATTGGGTTTAAACCATTGATCTTTCAGTTAGCAGCCAAGTGCCTAACCATAACCATTGTATCACCAGGGTCCCTTCCCTTACAATAAAATAGTAAACAACAACAAAACTAAGACAAGTGGGCAGGGACCTAAGCTGAGAGCCTCATTTGTATCTAGGGCCAAAACTGAGTGTGTGCCCCATGACTAGGGCTGTGTCACCACCCGCTGGCAGTGTATATATATTGCAGGGGCTCAGGGGTCTGGTTTTGGTTTTTGATCCTGGAGGCTATGGCAATGAGGCAGCGGGCCATGATCGGGCACAGGGCCATGTATCTTGTGTTTCTAGTGCTTTTCACTCC